CAATAAACTGTTCTTTTAATTTTCTGTTCTGAAATTGTTTCTGACTATTATTTCCTACGTCTGACTTATATATCATAAGCTTAACAGGGTTGTTGTACTGTGAATCCCCAAATGGGGAAGTATGGTGTGTGATATATATTAATCATATTCACCTGTGCTGTTTTGCATATTTATAAGACAAATGTATACTTGACTATTTTTACTAACCAATACATTTAAAGCACATATTCATGAATTACGTTAACAAATGCACTGACGAGTTGTCATGAAGATCATGTCATTTCAAACGCACCTGCTGTTTCTGATAGGCGGTGTTAGGGTTTATTTTTGACTCCAGCAGCAGTGATCCTGTTATGAAGAACGGACACATCTTAATTGCAGTATCAATCAAAAGTGACCATTACATCATTTTCGTAGTGTTTTGAAACCTACCATCACTTTCGGCGCGCACCAGGAGAGACATGCCTTTCAGTCTCTCCACGTAGGCGGATGACACATGTCCCGTCCCCCGATCATCCCACTGGCGATCCTCATTCAGAGTGTACACTTTTACTCGTCTACGAGTGTCAGTCATCCTTGCAAGTAATTCTCAAACAGACTTTCGCACTTTAATTCAATAAATCTCAACGTCCTTGCCTTGAAAGAGGCAACAGAACCTGCTGTCAACTTCAAGCTGAAATGTATGGCTGTCAGTGGCAAGCTGTCTCGAAGCTGATGCAGTATATTGTTGTGAGGTCTACAACAGTAAACTTGTGCTTTCCAGAAAAAAAAAATATTCTGACCAGTCTAGTAATGGTCAGCTAGCTGCTGTGCTGTGTGCAGCCGAGACTCTCCACAACATACTCAATATTTTGAAATATTTATAAACGTAACAACAAAAAGCACTCCCGTTTCTAAAAGGGGATGAAACGGCGAGAGATTCGTTTAAAAGTATGCAGCCAGAGCACGAATGCAGAATGTGTTTATTTTTCTCCGTGCCCCTTTACTTTGAGCTAGCTAGGCTAACACTAATTCAGTCAAACGGGGTTAGCGTAGCTAGCGCCTCAGCTAGCAGGCTATCTCTTCGCGCGAGTCATTTTTACCTATTTTCTCTAACACATAAACGTTCAAAGCGTGCGCGAATTAACTCCAAAGACGTACCGATTATGCTATTTGATAATTATATTCGCGCGCGATCGGTGGACATGCGGGAAGAGTCGTGTATAAAGCGGCGCGTTCATAATAAGCTAAGCTATATTTTCTCCAAGTATTCCGCCATATTCTGGCTAAGGGCCGCGAATGGACCAGCCAGTCTCTTTTCACACATAGATAAACATTCCCCAATGCAACTAATCGAATAGACTCGTTCGTTTCGCTTTCCGGGATGGCGAATGGCCAGCGCGACCGTCGAGCACCGTGAAATAGCAGCGACGTGACGAAAAGTAATTATTAGCCCCACTGTGAAGATTCGGCCATCTTGGGTCCCCTCAGAAAGTCGCTACGGGGTTTCCTGTGCTGCAGGCGCAGGGCCGCCGCCACAGTTTAAAGATACAGTCCGCCAAAATGACCAGCGCAAACACTGACACTGTGACTGGTGTTTCATAACTTCAAACACTCGCAGCTGGTTTAAAAAGAAGTAGGGACATGGAGAGGAATGTGAATGAGAGTGAAAGTAAGCGCGAAAATGCGCATCTTTTTTAGCGAATGACTGCTGGAGCGCGCGCAAAGAAAATGAACTTCGAACTATGATTTGTCATTCATACAATTAAATACAGATGCGCTTAGTTGTGCGGTTATTTTGTTTTCGAGGCCGAATACATTGAAGTTTCATTTACAGCCATTATAAGTAACAGGAGAAGCCTCTGTTGGAAAAAACAGGCCACCCCAAGCTGGTATTCCAGTCCAAGCTATGCTTTGGAGCATGGCCAAGCCCCTATCATAGCCAATGTGTTCAACAGCCATAACTAGGTTGCTCCACTCCACCAGCTTGTATATTATATAACTATAGAATTAATTACAAACTATATTTTTAGTGTTGCTTGCTCGTGCAAAACTTACCAACACAATACTATGGTTTTGCAAGCTGCAAGGGAATTTCTAAGATGATGATAATAGGTTAGACTGGTTGCTATGGTGTTGTGGGTGGTTTCTAGGTGATTAACTAGGTGTTTGCATTTGAAAAAATAACCTGAAAAGGTTTCAGTCAGGATTAAATTAAAATTTGCCCTTTTTTATAAATGCATCTTGTTCTTAATTATCTTATTGTGAACGATTCATTCATGCATGTTTCATTTTTACTTTTTTAGTTTATATTTTTATCTATATGTCGTAACCCGATCAGTCGGTGAAACGGCAGACTTTTCTATGCAGGACTTCTCCTGCCCCTTTCTCACAATCCATGCATATCTGCCTCATCCAATCAATAACTGATGGTTAATTTTAGGGGTCTTTCCCTTTTTTTTTCTTTGAAAAATGTTATGTGTACATGTTAATCACATCATACTAATTCATACAAAATAGCCACCTCATAAAATAGTTAAATTTTATCATGAGATCAGGTTGGATGGTGTCGAAAGTAAACAATTCACCATTCACTCAGAAACCACTATTGTCAGTGTATCTCAAATCTGAATGAACTCAAAAATGTTTGAAAGCATAAACTTGATGAGACCTTTATATCAATATTATGGTAGCCCAGAGGTTATGTAGATATAAACCACTGAAAACATAATTATGGATGTCATATTGCATTTCTGTAAATGGATACTCAAAAGATTTACACATTGCACCTTTAAGAAACATTTTGTTGTTGTTGTTCAAATTAACCCCTTAGCTGTCACCCCCCTTTTTGAGAATGGGGGTTAAAATGCACTATTCAAACTTACATGGTTGTAATTTAAGAACTCTTTGAATATATACCCAAGTTTGGTCTTGTTTTAAAGAAAACACTCAGCAGAATATTGCTGAAGTGAAAACACTTCAAAAAATGAAAGTATGAAAAAGTTATGGAAGTTTAAATTTACGGTAAATTAAATATACTGTACTATATATTTTTTATTTTATATAAAATATATATTTTATAAAATATTTTTTACTCTAAAAATTCTATAAAATCAAAGCCATATCTTATCAAGTTATGTTCCAAATTTGAAGTCGATATGACAAAAATTGAAGTTCCCATGAGATTTTGTTTAGGCGTAGTACCAAAAATAGCCACCGGGTGCCATTGAATTCCATTGAATTTAGTTGTATACATTCTGCCTTAACAAATTAATACATTTCTGTCCAAATATCAATTCTGTCACAAAATTTGGAACCTTGAGACTCTGACCTTTCTGACAATATCAGTTTTGTCAAGATTAGAAAAGGTTTTGATCATTAATTATGAAATATAATGATGCCCAAAAGGGGAGGAGCCTGATAAAATAAGTACCGTTTCTATGGTAACGCAACTTTCAATTATAAAACAGTTTTCACACGATGAATTCTGAGTTTATAAGCTTTCAAATGATACCTAATTCATGATCACTACTAAAATATGTGATATAATAAAAAAGGCGCTAAAAAATAATATTATATTTTAGAGGATAATAAATATAAATATTTTAGAGGATAATATTGTACTATAATTTTTTTATTTTTTATTGAAAAATACTAGATTATATGTTTATTATTAACTTTAGCATAAAAACAGAAGTTTCAATAATTAAAAGTGGGTGCATCAACTTTTTGTGACAAAGGTCAAAACTCCTGTTATGATGCAGATTTTTTGAGGTGCACTCTTGTCATAAATTCATCAATTACTCTTTCAACATAATTTTTAACACAAAACAGGGGTAGAATATCTATTTAGAAGTCTTAGACCTTTCCAACAATATATAATTTGTCATAATTAGATTAGGATTTAATAGAAATATAGTGAAGTAAAGTTAGGCGTCCCGGTACCGGGACGGTGACAGTTAAGGGGTTAATGTAAATATAAAAGCACATAGAAGGGCCAGAATTGCCCACTATAGTGATATATGATAACACTACAGTTAATCTACATTTTCCCAATGCAAGAGTGTGCCTGAAACCAGATCACATCATTACTATCATCACACAGATCAAGCCAGACTGTCCAGATTGCAAATCTGTTACAAAATAGAAATTGATGCAGCTTTATCTTATACTTGTATCTAGCGTTACTGTGTTCCTATAGTATAAGTCTTGCACTCAGCTGTTTCCTTGGTTAACCAGTAACTGTCATAAATAAAATGTATGCGCTTCCTCAAAAGGTACTTTGGTAACTTTTCAAGAACAATACAAATACAGAGCAGATCATGTAACCAACAAAACAGAATGAAACCTTTTGTGGTTTTCATATAGCACCTAACATGATCACAAATGTCACTCCAATAGGTACTGGCAAATAGTGGTCTCAGTAATTACACATCAGTGTAATGCTTTACAGGATAAAGGTTGTTTAGAATCTTGAAAAATTAAATGAAGACTTTTTTTATCAACAATAAAAAAGGTTGCCTATAGATCACAAAGAACTCGTTTTTGTACAAAAGATAAAGCGGTGCAGGAATTGTCGAAGAAACTTCCATACTGTATTATATATTATTAGAGGAATTTGTTCAGCAAGTTATTATTTGAACAATTCCCCCTGTAGCAGTGACGGTCATGCTTTTTTTCCCCAGAAGATAGCTATATAAAAATGAGCAGCCGCTTACCCTTAACATTTATTTGTTCAAAATGCAGTGAAACAGTCATATTGTGCTTATTTTATTTCAATTTAAAATAAAAGCAGATTTTATTCCAGTCTTGTGTCACATGATTCACCAGAAATCATACTAATATGATTTAGTGTTCAATAAAAATGTAACCAACGTTGAAAACAGTTCATGCTTAATATTTTTTCAAGTTCAAAAGAAAAACACTTATTTTAAAAAATGTTTTGTAACATTGTCTTTGTCACTTTCGATACATTTAATGCATCCTTGCTGTGAAAAACAAAAAAGCACTATTGACATTAAGATTTTTTGAGAAATTTTTATTATTTTCCAGTGGTGACTACTGGATACATACACAAAACAGAGAGGGTTAACAAAACCTGAAACAGTACTGAGGACAAAAGTTGGGATATAAGATGACTCAGAACTATCTCCATAATCTGAAATGTGTAAGTTTTATACTTTACTGAATAAAAAAAAAAATTAAACCACAATAAAAAAACACAAGAAAATACATTGTGTGATAAATATCCCAAGTCCCTAACTCCGGTTACAAAAATGTTATTTAAAATCCAAAATATTTTCAATCTATTCTTTGACATACTGACTGAATAGACATGCATTCAACAAAATCTGAACTAAGCGGCATCACTTCACCACTTGGTTCCTCTATATTTCTATTGTGATGTAGCGTAGTTCTGATACAGTTGGGGACTAGCTTTAGAAATAATTCAGCCTTTACACTCCTTATTTTCCTGCCTGCTGGGCTTGACGCCTCAGCAGCACGTAGATCTTTTCTTTGATCCAGTCTTTGTTGTAGGGCTGGTAGGTTTGTGTGTCTGCCCTGTACCTGTTTAAACAACCACAGAGTCAGAGAAATGGACATGATTGGTGAGACTTGTGCGTTAGTTATGTACTGTTGTGTAAAAAGTCTGATTACTTACACTAGACAGCTGAGGTCAGCAAGATCATCAACAAAGTCAAATAACTGGCTTATGTCATATGTGATGGAGGGACTGTTGGGATTCATCCTCTTCAGATGCTCTTCATACATCTTACAGACTCCTTTTTGGAGGAGGGAGGGGGGGTGTTAATTATTAAGAATAAAATGCATTAGAATAGTTCAGACATTAATTTCCAGTCCATTAAAAATGATTTAAAAAAACATCCTACCTTCCATGCATTCGTTGACAGACTCATAGTCTGCATATGTTCTGCCTTCTGGTCTCTTGGTGGGCTGCACCAGCAGAATAGTGTGAGACTGAAGATCAGGGGAAAAAAAATTTAAGTAAATTATATATATATATGTTAAAGAACAATAATGCATAAACAAAAATATTAGAAAGGCCAAATATACCGTAAAATCATCACCAGAAAGTATCTAATAATGTGGAGCCCTCTACTGCTAATAATTTGCTAGTGCTATTTTATAACTGACATAGAAATTAATAGATCACATGTATATAAAATGGATAACATCTTAATCTGATATTCTCGTTTGTCGAATTAACTAAAGTAAAATTAAATATAACTCGCTAAAATGTTCAAACGGAATCTCTGGAATAAGACTCTAAAAACACCAGCTGTTGGACTCCAACCCTCCCCCAAAACAAAACAGTCTAGATGCTTCTTACTAAGACAGATGCTACCACGGGTGAACTTAAAAACTAGTTTGTTTAAATTCAGTCTTTAAACAAAGTGCTTTACTATGTAGAAAGAGGATGCAATAATATTCCACCGGACTTCAATTTCCTTAATAATTCGACGTTGCCTTGCTACACTGCTGCTAACGTTAGCTGCCCGCGTTCATCTTTTACCGTGTCAAGGCACACGACAAAACACGGTTTTCTAACAAGACAAACGACAACAATATATACCATAATACAAAATATAAAACTGAAATGCATACCATATCGGCTTCTGGTATCTAAACGTCACAATGAACGATGTGCTAACCGCTGACGGCTGTTCACTGAAAGCAGCAACAGAAAGAGCATAAATGTGCAACGAACATTCACTTCCGGTAGTGGCGGTGACGATTTTGCTTTTCAAAATAAAAGCATGTGTCACGTTACACAAAAGGGAATTTATTCCAAAATGTGACATCGGTCAGAGAAAATTTATGAACAGTTTTGTTGGGTGACAGACAGCCTATTTTTATTTTTTACAGTTTATGGTGCCAGCACGTGTTGAAAATGTTGAACATATCAGGAGGCAGCTAGGGTGGGAGTGGAATCTGGTAGGGATACTGGGATCAGAAGGAGGGTGAAAGGAGATAACAGTCACCAGGAAGGCACTATTTACAGTTTTAAAAGACACATGGTTGTGGAGTAGAATTTAAATAATTGTAAAAATGAAATGCACACTCCAGTACAGTTGGTGGCGGTATGCACCTTAAGTTGTTTGCAATACACCATTTAATAAGGGAAGAACTCCAAAACGTTCAAAAACAAATTCGAGATCTAGCTTCTAACCTAATATAATGTGCATCCTTTTATTTTTTTACTTTTTTATTTGTTTGTTTTGTGATTGTTTATACCATATTTTTACAATTCTTCTTCATTTTTGATTTTTACATTTGATATTTGTTTTCAGGGCGACTTTGGCCAACCTGTAGGCCAACCCTGGCACACTTACTGTAATTTGCACTGTCCCTGTTAAATAAATTAATAAAATAAAAACAGAAATTTGCATGCAAGATTGTCTCAAAATCTGTAGGTCACAAGAGATTTATTCTGGTAAATTCTTGGGTGGAATCATAAACAATCAGCGTTCTCAGTTTGTTTTAGCACTTTAATGGTTTAGCACGAGTATACATTTGAAGTACATGGATGTATGGATATAGAAACATAAAGAGAAAGGGAAATGATTTTAGCTTAATTCTAAACAGCAAATTTATTTTCATGAAATTGATGAAACAGTTGATTTTGAAATATGTAAAAATAATAATAATTACTTGCTGTTTTAATGCTTGATACTTTAAAGTAAATGTGTTTATCTTAAACTACAATAAAAAGCTTGAGGGGGCACTCAATATTTTTTCATAAATTAATATCAATAAATGTTATAAACCCAAGATGCCTTTCATATTAGCCAGCGCAAAATTGTTGTGTGCACATTTGAATACATTGTTGTTTTGTCTTCATGTTTAAGTTTGGTTTGTTTGTTGTGGGATTGAAATGACCCTTTTTTTAACCTTTTATGCACGGGATCTCATTCTATAGCCTCTGACCCCGTTGATCCCTCTCCTGGTTGTTGGTTCTCTTGGGGCAAGGCCTCTGGCAGAAGCCTTACATGTCTGCTCACATTCCTGTTTGGATACAAAGTTATTGCCATTTCCTTGGCAACCCCCAAACCAGAAATGCGAGCAAGAGCCAGAGGAAAGATCAAAGTAGAAACGAGATGTCCATTCATAACAGGGCCCAACATCTCGTCCCAAAGAGCACACACTAGCAGAAGGTTGACGGATTGGACTGTAGTCCTAAAAACAAAGTAGATAATGTGTTGGAAAGACAGTTAAAAAAATTAAATAAAATTGTATGATGATAGGTAAAGCATAAAGGAAAATTGAGTGTGAAAATTAAATGAGCTATTATACCCTATTAGGACATCCTGCTCTTCCAAAACTAAGAGCAGCTGTTACTCCATCCAGACAGCAGCCATATCTGATATCACACAGACAAACCTTCAGTTTAGGTTTTAAAGTCTTCATTATATTTAATGGATCAAACATTTATCACTTTTTTATTCTTGTGTGGAAGAATATTTGTTACCCAACCATTTTGGTTCCAGTTGACTTCTATTTTATATACAAAAAATTCAATTCAAATACAAATTCAAATGGGAGTCAATGGGAACCAAAACGGTTTGGTTCTTCTCAATCTTTTGCTTCACAGGAGAAAGAAACTCATGCAGGTTTGGAATGCATGAGAGTGATTAAACTATGAAAGAACCATATTTTTTTAACTATCCCTTTAAAATAGACTGTCAGTGATTTATTTATTAAAAAAAGTAATACTTTAAAATATCTTGTATATAAATCTATATATATTCTAGTAATCTTATTGGAAACCAGATGTTTTAATGATTACTGTGTTTTTAAAATAATATTACTACTAAAAAAATATCAGTTATGAAAGATTATTGATGTGGGCAGATTATATAGCTATTTAGTGCTTATGTATTATACTGTATACAGTATGTACCTGGACCTGTGACAGCCATCAAGGGCACAGCCTTCTCCACGAGGCCCAGAGGCAGCAGTGTGGCCATCAGGACAGCAGCCGTAATATGACTGGGCACAATGCGGGCCAGTCACAATAGGGTATGGATCGCTTGGTCTCTGAACTGTCCACAAAGCAAATGTAGAGCAAGAATCAGCTCATATACAATAGAAATGAGCTCAAGCGTAATGGAAACAGCAATTTAAAACAGCTTTTGAATCACCATCAACATATTTGTGACAGCTTTTTAACCTGAGATTGCATCCTGGGTGTGAGGCACAAATCCAAGCAAGGAGCTCTCGTAAGCACTAGGGTCCTGCAAGCTGGGCACCACTAAACCAAAGCAACACAAGTGGAGAATGAGTGCCTCATAGCACATAACACGCAGTCAATGACCATGAATGAACTCACTTTGTGCTCCAGGACAGGCCTGTGTGTTGCAGTTCTCCACGGCATGAGGTCTGCTGAGAGAAGCACATCTATCATCTGCATATTGATTGTGATCCAAATCCATGCATACCACTCTGCGCTCGCGAGTACCAGTTCCACAGCTACGGGTACACTGAAAGAGACACAGAGAGGAAAATACTTCATTCTGTTTGGCTTTCTCCTTTATTTCCTTCCTCTCCTTCCTTTTCTCACCAAGCTAAAATCATTGGTGTAGTATCTAAAAACTTGGTGACAAGCTGGTCTCTGACAGGATCTGATCTCTTGTGGACGTGTGACACCCCTGCAGTGGTGCTCAGGGACACGCTCTCCTCCGCCACCGATGCAGAACACCTCCCGCGTCTGCTGTCCCTCACCACACGTCACTGAACACTGGAAGAAACAACAGAATAGCACTGTCATCAATGTTATAAATAAAAGTGTAACACCTGCAAAAAAATCTTCTGAGGATGTATACATCAATATGAACGGAAATGGAATAATTACATACATCACCAAAAGGACCAACACTGTACTCGGCACAAAGGTGCTGGTTGCAGGCCACCTGGGAGATTGGTTTCCTTAGGCCTTGTGCACTGCAGTAAGATTCATCTACCATTGCTGATGTTCTCTCATTAATACAGTACACAGTACGGGTCTGCACGCCCCCACCACAGTGACGAGAACACTCGGAATAGGTGCTGTATGTGTACCTACAAACACAATATATAAAGATAGTCACTTGTCGGACCTATCATTCTTAGAAAAAAGGGTTCATTGGAGTTCTATATGAAGCATAGGGTTCTTTACTCAACTCCAAAGGAACTTTTACGCTAAAAAATGTTCTATAATGATAAGAAAGAACCCTTTTGGTACAAAGGTTCTTTATAGGCTTTTATTCATTTATATATTACATTATTCTGCAACATTTTGTAGTTGCATTTTAATTATGCTGATTTTTGGAAGATAAAAACTGAAATGTCACTCTTCGTGTGATATTGATTAATTAAACTGTTTAACCCCCATACCTTGAATTTTGTGATCATTCACATGCATTGCATTTTAGGGGTTCCAAATACATAGCGCTTTAGAACCTTTTAAGGTTCTATATAGAACCTTTTCTTCTAAGAGTGTATATCCTAGAGACTCACTGAAAAATCTTCACCTCTAATTCACAGACTGGAATATGCATGATGCAAACAATGAATCACAGATCACACATACACAAAAAAATACATAGAGTACCTGTATGTGTCCAGATGGGCAGCAGCCCCTGGGACATGTCTAGAGGTGACCGGAAGAGAGTGATCCTCAAAAGCCACAATCTCCCCATGGCTCACTGCCTTTCAGCACAGATAAGGGTGTTAGAATGAAATGTTTGTGTGTGTGGTTTTGAGCTGTAGTTAGTGTACACATACTCTGCAGACACCCTCCACACAGACGTCTCTGCGGCCCACGTAGCACAGTGTGCCGTCCACCACAGCGGGTCTGTGACGGTAGTAGAAGTTCTCTCCTCTGGGCACACACACCAGCTCACATGGGTTTGAAGCTAGACCAAAACACAACAGGTCATGTGACTAAAGAGCCACATCTTATTACACTAAAACAAGATATGAAAGCATCCAGAACTTTCATCTAATTATATTTTTAAGTCTTACTTTGAGTGTAAAAGTATTTCCCTTACTGTCATTTAACAAATTAAAGCTCCGATTTAAGTCTGTGAAAATAATATTTCAGACAACAAAACAAATCATTTTCTTATTTAGGCTTATTTTTCATGAAAAAGATTTGATTTTATAGAAGGCAAATTTCATTATTTATAGCCAAACAATTTTTTTCTTGTTTTAAGTGTAAATTTAACCAAATTGACAGAGGTTTATGCTCAAAATAAGGAGAAATGTCATTTGGATGAGAAAATGTAGTGTTTCTGTTTTTTTAGTAAATTGTATTTATTTATTTATTAAGCACTTTATTTAATTTTATTTAATTCAGCTATCTACCTTAAAACATTAGCTGTTACAGCTCAAATATCCAAATAAACTTACAAACGTAATGTCTTCATACAAAAAAAAAAAACTGTATAATCAATAAAATGAAATTTTTCATTCGCCTTATGTCTTATACCTCCATAATATGGCTGCCAGGTGTAACGTTTTCCATGGAACTCCATTCGGTCAAACTGAGAACACTGTTCCTCACGAAAATCTCGAGCTCCAACAGGGCATTCCTTTACAGAGGACAAAAGTTTTAGCACTCTAAAATTTGATTTTGCATTTGATTGTGTGTTAAGTTGTTACCTGTATGTTACAGAGTTTGTAGGAGTTGGATGGTCCCACGCAATTGTGTCCACCATCCGTCCTTAATATTAAAAGATAGAAGATGAGTTATGACAGCTATAAAGAAAAGGTTTTCATGTGTATGAAACACACAGGTGTTCACCCACCTCATGGTGTTGCAGACCCTGGTTCTCACAGCTACTCCGGTGCCACATGTGCGGCTGCAGGCGCTGTACGGACCATACTCATTCCAGTAATCATCGGACGGCTGCCTCAACTACAGCAAACACACTATCTATCATGGACAAATTCATCTGATATAGACAAAAAAACATTTTATATAGATCCCTTGCACATTCTTGGTGAAAAGAACATAAATTTGGTTGATCTGATTCTCTCCTCTGACATTCCAGGGAACATTTCCACAACTTTCACTAATGTTTTGTAAAGGTTATGTAAATGTTAAGATAAAACGTTCTTTAAATAACTTTTAAAAAATGTTCTTATAATATTATTAATATTACGTTCTCATGTTGATGTGAGAAATGTTCTTGAAATGTCTTTATGATGTTGTTTTTACTTGAATGATCTCATAAACATTCAGAGGATAACATTTTTAGGGGGGAAAAAAAAAACAAAATACGTATTTACTTGATAAATGTTAACATTCAATTTCTTGGAATATTACAAATAAGCATTCAAAGAATGATATCCAGTAGGATTATCATAAATAACTTTCTAATCACAACAAGAAAATATTGTAACATTTTAGAAATATTGCAAATCCCTGTGTTCCCACATTTGTTAGCTGGGAAAATATTTACTGAAGAGCAAAAATCTGATCTGAAAAATCTGATCTGAATCTGAAAAATCTAGCCATTCATTTCCACAATTATATTAATTCTTGACCACATGTGTGCCATGTTAATGTTGTTTTACTTACACAGAAAACTGCAGAGATCAAGCACAAGATTCCAAGTAGAGAGTGGAGCATCATCTTCAACATAAGAATTTTTGTTGACCACAAATTCAGAAAACATTGAAACATCTATAATGAATAGTCACATACCTTCTCAATGTCTTACCTTGAAAACTCCAAGTTCACTCAGTCACAGCAAGACAGTCGTGACTTGTGACACTGATGTCCATTCACTCAAGACTGAACATCTCTTCTTTTGTGCACACGTTCACAAACGTACCAATGCACACGACTCATATCAAGTTACAATTAACCCCTCTTGGGAGACAATATCATGCCTGACTACTGCACAAATCTGATTTAGTCTGAGATCGTGATCACACTTCATCATTCATAACTGGTAAAAATGAAAAACATACTTTGACTTATAAACCATATCTGTTTATTTAAACTATTATCATTTTTGAATTTTGCAGTGCTTTAGAGGAAAGGTCAGAGGTCAAGTGTACATTTTCACAATACATGTTTCAAATCAGCTTAACAGAAAGATACAAGTCTTGCAAGAGGCTTTTGACCTGCCACTATCTACTAATGGGGTGATGGGGCAGAGCCCCAAAAAAATATAATGAAAGCAAGAGACAGCATGATTACGAAAGCATAGCTGTGTGATGTGAGATGTCACAGTCAGGCTTTTTTCAATATTCAAACCCAAGATGTTGCTTAGTGCCACTAAACATATAGTATTAAATCATAGGGGTGGAAGCGCTCTGTGACACTCAATCCTCAAAGGTGCTATTTTAATCTCTTTCCCTATACAGCAACCAAAATGACAGACGGTGGTTGTCATTGTGAAGGAGTCAGAGACCACGTATACTACTTAAGTGGAACAAAACCCTCTGATACTCGAATCAACAAAGCTGCATTGCTTAGGTGCCTATAACATTTGAAGTCATTTTTGAGAAAGTTCAAATATTTTCTTGTATCTCAATTTTAAAATGCAGAGACAACGAAGAAAGCCATGTTGATTACCCTGAAAACTGTATAAAATAAATAAATAAATAAAAGTGGCTCCAGTCACTGCATATCTGTTCCATCAGAGCTGTCGGTTGAGCTTCTCTGCCTGCCTTTCTTTGGCATCCAAAGCGTATTTGGTGTCCTGGAGGTCCTTGACGGTCTCCAAGGCCTCCTGCAGCTCCTTGTCAAGGGCACTGTATTTCTCAGTCAGTATCCGGTTCTCCAAGCGGAGCTCTGTGATGTGGCGACTCAGCTCCAGGTTGTAATGACCACAGTGCTCACGGAGCTGCTCCACCTCTCTTAGCAGGACCTCCATACTCCTCATGAGATTCTCCAACTTCTCCTGCTGTTGTGTCATACTGTTGTGTTGCTTCAGTCCTATACAATATTCATAAAACAAATGAGAGGAAAATTGATACAGAAACACGGACCAACACAGACTGCAAGCGTCTCTCGTGTCTCTCTGATTAATTTGTTAAATCCAGTTTGTTTAATCCCCTGTTTAAGCTCTTTCCTTTTATGCCTCCTACTCTTTAGTTTTTTCTTCTATATACGTTTACATTGGGCGTCAAGTGTTGATGCAACATTAGTGTTGCGTTTGTTAACTACTAAAACTCGTTTTGGTTTAAAAATCATTTCCGTTAGATGAAAAACTTACATTAAAATTACAGTTGTTGACTGTTAATTGAAATAAAATAAGTCGAAATTGTAGGACTAAAATAGCTAAAACTATAAATAAAGTTTAATAGAAATTACTGGTAAAACATGACAAAAATGACTAAAACCTAAACTAAAATGAAAATAAAAATGAGTAGTAAATTATTATTAGCGAATTCAGAATATTAATAAAGAGAAGTATTTAAATAATACCAAAATAGCACTGTCCAATAACAGTAGAAATGTAATTTACTAAAAACTATAGCACATATCCATTGGCTAAAATTGTACTAATATGTTATTATGAGTGACATAAATACTCTAGAGTTTAATTGGAGAAATGAACTGCCTTTATTATCATCAAGAACATTAAAGATATGGAAAGTGTTTTCTCCTATACCTTTACTCTGGTACCCAAACTAATAGCTGAATTTTATTATTTGCATTGAGTTATGTTTTATTCCTTTGACAAGTTTTTGGTGTTAATCCCCAAAAATGTGTTAATGCATTGATGTACACACATAAATACGTATATTGTAACTAAAGACAGATGAACTTTGGTCGATCATCAAGCTGAATGATGTCTGCTCATTAAACTCTTAATGTGATTAGTCAAGCAAAGGCAAAAGTGCCGCTAAGCCACCATAATCACCAAGTTGATTACCATGCCAATACTTTAACAGACGATGTGACTGCTTATCCAGTACACCATCAGTCTCTGGTCCTCGCAGAATAGACACTATACTAAAAAGAACCTCAGTGCATATCTACTCTGATACAAGACATTTCTAATGTAATGAATGTGCAAAATTCACATTTGTAGAGTGAGAGAATTGTGCAGTGTGCAGCTATAAAAAGAGAAGTCACATTAGATTAAGTCTGATGCCATAGTCTTTTAATCTGATGGCATTGACCTTATTCACAGCAGCGCCTTATTTCAAAAGGATGAAAGGGAAGTGAGGGATACATCTCTTTAGTCAGTGGGTTGTACTGTCATTTAATGTGTTTTTGGATTGTTCTGCTCATGAAACACTACAAAAATATATTTCAAAGAAATTTTAGTAGACAAAAACTCCAGACAACAAGAGCTGTGGACTGTTTTTAAAAATATGAGCTTTATACAGCTTTTTGAAGCGAATGCCATTGGAAACACATCTAAACAATCCCTCACAGCCTCACTTTCGTACCTGTGTCATGGCGCTGCTCTGAATAAGGTCCAGAGTCAGGTGCAAAAATAAAGGTAGCTATAGCAGCCATGTCAAAAGATATCAGGCATCAGAGAATGTGGTGGGGAAAAAGCAACAGAAAGAGAGAACACCATGAAGAGAGCTTTTCTAAATTATCGCCACATTCAACTTGTTACACAATCATCACTGCTGCTAAAAAAGTGCTGCTGACATGTAGTACTTTTGTCATGAGTTATGACCCTGCAATTCTTTCTGTTGTTTCTTGCCTCCCCAAATGGCAAAAAGGGAGAAAGAAAACATGCATTGCAGTATAAATAGTTTTTTCTATCCAAAATCTTTTATACATATTAAAAATACAAAACATTTTTTTTTTAATTCAAACAAACTTTGAAGATTTATTACAAAACACTATTTCAGGGTCGATGAAATACAAACAGAACAATGTACAACATGTTTTAAAGCTATTTCTGTTTTTAGTTTCTTTGTGTTTTTGGGCTGTTTACTAAAAACTAAAAACTTTTAATGCATTTTGGCCTTTCATTTACACGAAAAGTTTTGTGTTCCTGAAAACCGGGATTTTGTCTCTAGGTAAAATGCACAAATGTGAATCTGTGAAAATGGTGACAGCATGTTTCTTTACAAAGTGACTCCTGGTTTTAGTCATTCTTTTACGAGAGTACTCTCGTGTTGCTATGGGAAAACCCCTTTTTCCTGCCTGGGGAAGAACCACACGGACCACACGCTTTCCGTCAGCGGCTGCCCGGAATGCGACTCGATGGACTGTCGAACCTGCGGGCTTCTTCCACTGCACGACCACTTTGGTTCTGATCCGTCGTGCTTATTAAGCCAACGGTCTAGCCGCATCAGCGCTGTATTCCATGCGCAAATTTATCAGGCCAACCTTCTCCGCACGTTGGACGAGGAGGACAAATCCAGAAAGCTTCAGGGATCTGAGGAGTGAACTCAGCACCACTACCTCCTCGGCAGCCAGCCCCACAGCGCCATCATCCTGCAGACTCCCGACAGCACTCACGCTCGTCCAACCGTCATGGGCCGCCTCCCCACTGGGGCCCCCGACCCAAAATGGCGGTAAAGTCCAAGCAAAGTCTTCCTGACCAAGCTGGGAAGACGAAGATGGTTAGGTCCAGCCGCAGCCGGGCCGCAATCGAAAACAGCACGCATTGCTCTCACAGCTCCCTTCAGCAGAGGAGCAGTGTATTTCACAGCCAACGAGCCCATCACACGACCCACTCGCGTGTACCCAGATAAATCTCAAAAAGAGCATTATGTCTCCGTTTCCAGCTAATGCCAAAGTTGTCTTAAATATAGGAAAAGTGCCCACTTCCCAGAGCCCATCCCTATACACATAAGCATGGTCCATTCAGTGACACTCACACGGCCCACATCAATAAGGACGGCTCACCCCGCCTGTCTTTTAAATGTATTAAATGTGCCCACATTCAGACATAAACCCTGTTTCCCCCACAACACGCACTCACTCAGAGCAAGCAGAGTCTGCAGAGAGTGTGCGCGCTTCTAAAAGCGTGTGCCCTATGACAGGCACTGTGAACTGTGTTACACACACACACAGCGACCAAAGCCCAGGTATCATTCTCCCTCTAGCTTTGCTTTGTTAAAAAAAAAGCTTGGGAAATGTTACCGGGCGAGTCAGAGAGGGTGATAAACACTATAAGGCAAGGTTATTCACTGAAGTTCTCTCGGAGACCCCTGTGTTTCAAAACCAGGGTCGAAACTACGGTCGAATTTACGGCTTTGTGCCAAAATAGCAAAACTGCTACAAAAAGAGGCTGTAGAAACTGTCTCTCTGATACAGAGCCAGTCAGGTTTCTACAATGGGTATTTCCTCGTACCCAAAAAGGCTGGTGGTCTCAGACCTCAGGCACTTGAACAGAGCATTGATGAGGAGATCATTCAAAATGCCCACAACCAGACAAATTCGCTCGAGAGACTGGTTAATCTCACTGGATCTGAAAGTTGCCTATGTTCAGATTCAAATAACCCCTCGCCACAGGTCTTTTGCAATTCACCTTTGAGGGTCAGACTTATCAGTACACCGTCCTGTTGTTCGGCCTGTCTTTAGCACAAGACGCTCTCTGTGAGCGCGTCATGCATGGAATTTTGGCCTAATGAGTCTAAGTCACGCTCAAACCAAAACACAGATATGTCCCCAAAGTGCTCTCCGCCAAAGCCATTTCTCTATCAGCCCTCCTGGGAACTGACGGAGAGAGCAACGTATATCTCCTTTGCCCGGTTAGGGCATTGCGGATTTATGTTTAACGAACTGCTGCCTTTAGGCAATCAGAACAGCTTTTCGTTTCATTTGGTGGCTGCGCTAAAGGTCTAGCTACCTCGAAACAAAGCATTTCCAGATGGATAGTTGATGCTATTCACTATCGTTCCAATTAGCTTCAAGATGAAAACCAAAGAACACCCTATCTGGA